TGCCTCCCTCCTGACAGCCTCCTTCTGCATCCCACATCCCGCATCTTGCATCCCACATCCCACATCCAGCGTCTTGCATCCCACAGCCCCTCATGGCATGGAGAAAAGGGTGGGCTCAAGCGGGCAGGAGGGAAGGAGGCAAGCGCTTCTCCCTCCCCTGCTTGCACACCACCATGGAAAGCTTCATGCAGGGAGCCAAAAGGCTAAAATTTGACCCTGTGCTGACCAGCGGGGGTGAAAAGGCTTCAAAACCAGTGTAGTCTGGTGGGTGGTGCAGTGGACCTCAGAAGGGAGGAGAAAAGTCTCCATACCAAGAGGTCAGCTCTGCCTGGGGTTTTGTCCCCCACGGCTCTGCTGCTGCAGCTTGTGACAGGCACGTGAGGGGGAAAAGCCCCAGAACAAAACGGGACACCAGAGCTTTACTGTAAAGATCGGGTTTAACTCTTGGACTCTCCATGCCAGGTGCTCCAGGAGATTTTGTTCCCAGTAACGGGGAACTGAGAACCAAAATTTGGGACTCAGCCACCCTAGAGTACAGGCTACTGCCCACTCTGAAAGATGTTACTGGAAACCTCCACATTTTCTAGGGCACCACTTTACTGGTAGAGGGAGTTTAACATCTCTGCCCTCTTGCCCTCTTGCAGGCAGCTCTGCCCACGGGAAGGTGCTTGGATGGGAGGGGTAGGTGGGTAACCTGGAAAAGAAAGTAGTACAGCAAAGTGCTAGGTCTCTCGTCTGTCTTCTTTTCTTGGTGTGTGAGCCATCCCCTTGGGTGTTGTGAGGCTATCATCTCTGCTCTACAGCTGGGGAAACTGAGGCACAGAAGAGCATGATGCGGTCACATCCTGCACCTCGCTCAGCCTGGGCTGAAACCCTCTGGCATTCCGGTGGGGTGCCCAGGGCTGCCCTGAGTGCAGGGAAAGTTTAGCACCCTCGCTGAAGTCAAACCCTTCTGCCCCCAAACCCTTTCCAACTCCATCAGGCAAACAGCACAACAGGGCACCGCAGAGAGCTGCGGAGGGAGATGAAATATTTCTTGCTTCATCCTGCTCCCGTTGCTGCTTCCTTGTTCTTTGTTTCATCTATTCCTCCAAAAGAAAGGACTACGCTTGCAGGGTTTGTTTTGGTCTGTGTTTATGGATGAGTGCTACTACTAATTGTAAATGGAGCAATTAGACCTTTTCCTTCTACAGTCTCCACCGGGGTCTGGCAAAAGGTCTGACGAACCCTGTACCTGCACTCTAGAAACATATACGCCAAGGGCTGAACTTTTACAACCTTCTCATTTACCAACATCTCTGCTCTCATTCGGGGGGGGGGCAATTGTGTGAGTGTGTGTGTCCTTGCAGCTGCAAAGCATTTAGTTATGTATGTGTGTGGCTCGCTCGCGTGCACCTGGAAAGGGGCTCAAATCGCTCTCATTAAAGTCAGCAGGGAGTGCTGGAGTGTCTGTTCTCCCTGGCTCAAACACAAGAGGGACACAAACGTGCCTGGAGCAAAAACTCATTTATATATTCCAGATAATATTCGCAAATGTAGATTCTGAGCTTTTTTGTCCTGTTTCTTATTCATTTCTTCTGATTCATTCATTCTTAGTCACAACCAGTGTTAGCTGAGGCTGCCTTTCTTCTATGTACCGTTTGTATATAACGCACAACTGAACAGGGCGTAGATTTACAGTTAATTGTATCTGTGGCAATGCGTAGGTGCACATAATAATCATGCGTGAGTGCGTGTGTATGTATACTGTCTTCATTATGTGTGTTAATTGTTTGGAAATACATTTTCTTCTCACAAATCATGTAAGGGATGAAGAATAGCAGCTCCAAATCTCCTTCTTTACACCCGCTGTTAGCACGTGTATTCTCATCGCAGGCAGGTAATCCTGTCCGCAGCTGGGATTTAGAGCAAGAGGGAAAGAAAGCTGAAATCTTCACGTGGGGGGATGTGTCCTGGTGTGGAGTCAGTGCATCTCCTTTCAGACAAGCCTCACTCACCCTCTTCAAAGGCTGAGAGCTGTTTTCCTTCTTCTTCTGTTCCCTTTTGTCACTTGCCCTTGATCATGAGCCAAACAGGAAAGGCTGGAGCCCCATGTCGGAGGTCGGACACATGGCATTTCCTCACAGGAAGTGCCAGAAATGTTCTCTTCCATCCAAAGGCTGTTGACAGCCTTCCAGCTCGGAGGTCCAGATCCCGCCGGCTGCACCAGGCGCAGGCTCCTGGGCTGTGCTGAGCTGCCCGACCTCAGCTCTGCCCTGCCCAAGCATGTCCCAGCCTCCGGCTTTGGCAGCTGGCTGGAATGTGGCCTCTGTCTGTACCTCAGACGAGTTAGACAAATAGCCACTGCGCGGTCACTTAATAAACAAAAAGGCAATTTAACGCGTTCAGGACAGGTTTTTCCCAAAGCACACCAGCCCTGCGGCTTGGGCTGGATGCTCAGAAAAACCAGAGGTCTGGCGCGGGCTGTTGAGAGCAGTGGGCTTTTTAAGACATTTTGATAATTTTTTGAAAGAGCTCTTAAAATCCAGCCCTGTTAGGACCAAAGTGGGTAACAAGCTTATCCGGATGTTCAGCACTGGGGCAAAAAGAAATCTTGTGCTGGCTTTTTTTTCCCCAGAAACTGACTCTCCACCCTTTTTTATCTCATGCAGACTTCCCATTTCTTCTTCCTGGATGACCTGCTGAATGGTAAGTGGTTTCCATTTCTTCCTTTTAACTTCTGCATACAAAACTAAGAGACTGGTGACCTGGTCCATCAAGAGACTTAGCTATGCCCAGTGCTGAGGTTTTTTTACTTCATGCACAGCTTTGCTGAGCTTAAAACACAGGCTGTGATCAAGTAGAAAGCCTCTTTGGCTTTGGACAAATGATATGGTGAGCACTTTCAGACCTCCACATGTGCTCTGTGTCAGTGGAGCAGGAGACAACGCTGCATCAGGTCCCAGCCAGGCGCAGGTCTGGCACACTGGAGCCGAAAACAGAGGCATAGCAGCGGTACCAATTTGAAGCTGATCATGGGGTACTCCTAGACTGCACCTGCAACTCACAGCTCTATTTCAAGCCAGGACTTTTCTGCTGCTCTGTGGCCTCATGTGCTCAACACAGCTTTGGGGACCCACGGGTGACACAGTGGGTCATGGGTGGGAGGAGAAGTCATGGTGCTGGGCTGCAAACCTCACAGAAGGATAAGCAAAGAGTCTATCCGTGCATGCAAATCGAAGGTCAGGTAAACAAAGGCTAACTTTCCCTTGCAGCATACAACTAACTGTGGAACTTATTTCTGCAAGGTTTTGTCCAAAGTGCAAGAAAGTTCAAAAAGTGTTTACAAGCTCATGCAAGTAAAAGTTGTTGAAAGTGACGTAGCATTAAGATGCTGATAAGAGAAAAGCTGTGATGAATGTTGTGTGAGGATCTATAGATATTGTGTGAGGATTTTTATGTCCTTTTGCAGCCTACTTGGTCCACATAGAGGATTATGGTTTTATTGCTAGGTTTAGTATTTTTGCAGTTAAGCCCTGCTCCTCCTTTTCTTGATTTCAGTGGCTCTTAGATCTGAGTTTATAATTTATGGCTAATAAAATATTAAATTAATTTTGCTCCTTTTCCTGAAAAAAGAAAAAGAGTGTGGCTTTTACTATGCACTCGTTATTTGGCCACATTCCTGTTCATTCCAGTGGCGTTTTGGCTTCCAGGTCAAACCTGCGAGTCCAGCAGCCATGTAGCTCATATGGCACTGCTTCTTTCCCCAAATCAATGTTGCTCTTCTAACACGATGTATGTGGAAAACAAATTTCCAAATCATTTATGCATCTGAGCTCAGTATTTAGCTTCTGCAAGTATTTGACCACAGAGTCATGTACTTGGCTTCAGGCTTTACACACAAGACTTGCACAAACTGGCTGATTTGTGTTTCAGTGGTGGAGCTTTCACAACTTCTTAATTCATTCCCTCTCCCTACACTTTATGGTCCTTACCTCTGTCCCTCCACCATCCCTGCAATCTCCCACTCCCCATCCTCCTGCGAGTCCCCACTCCTTCAGCCCATCATCATCTGCCTTCACCCAGCACCCATCCCTTTAAGGAAAAGGCACTGCAAAACTGCTTTTAAGTAACAGCCCCAAAGCTATTTGAAAGGCTTGCTGCTCTCACTTCTTTTGCAATTTCTTTCTGAAGCTGCAGATAGTCCCAGCCACAGCCCGCGTGGAAAGGAGGAAATACCGTGAGGACTCATCTCTGCAGAATTAAATGGGGGACATCTCATTATTTAAACTACAGTCAGGATTGCAGCCTCATGAAAATAACACTACATTATTCTCAGAGCTAGAGACAAAAAGTATTTAAAAAGGTGGCAGGAAAACTCATCCTGCTTAAATTAGGCCAGATTTCAGTCAATCCCCAGAGGTTCAGAGAGCTTGAATAAATGCTGGGTACTTTCTGGCGCTCTTGGTGTGTGTTGGCAATAGACTTTAACTTTGCACATCACTCATCTTGACAACTGCAGTCCAACAAAGTTACCTCGCAATTCAGGTCACTCGATGGCATCCTAATGCATCACTTTCCCACTCGGAACATTAGTCATGACTTGATCCAGTGAAGGTTTTGAAAACAGTGTGACTGCCGGCGTTGGGATATCTGTTCTCTCCGTAACAGAGAGCCCATGTAAGCTAATGAACAAGGGGATATTGATCAGAAATCCATCGCTTGATTGACGGCTCTTGGCAATGTGAAAAACTGCAGATGAAAGCTTGAGCAGTTTAAAAGATCACCCAGACCTCAAAGCTGATTTGAAGCTTTAAAAGTCAATCTCTGCCTATCAATTATGGGGGGATTTTTTTGTACTACACAGAGGAAAGTTATTCTTTGAAAATTTGCATGCAGGATGTCTAATTTAATTTCATGTAATAGTCACATTTCAGTGACAAATGTCAGATCACTGCTTTTTTTAAGCATGTTAAGGTTTTCCAGCACTTACAAAGAATGAACACTCTGATTTAGTAATATGTTTAAATCAACCGGTGTATCAGACTTTGTACATTAATTATGTGCTCAGATAAAAAAAAGTGTTGTTTTTGCTTTGCTAAACCTATGGCTTGTTATGAATAATTAAAAAAATGGAATGGGAGCACTTCTTAAATAAGAGATGTGGAAGCCAAATATTTAGTGTCGAGGCAATGATAAATAAGAAGACATCTTTTAGTTTGATGTCATGTGCCCAAGTCAGGGTTTTCTGTTCTTTGTTTTTCACTGCTTCATGCAGCTGGGGAGGACACGGAGTAGCTGGGAGATGGAAAGGATCACTCACGTGACCCGTAGAAGCTATTTCTTTTTCACAGTTTCATAAAGAGGGATGGCGATGGAGAAAGCAGGGACACTGGTGATTTCTCAGATCGGCTGCACTCTCACATCACCTTGGCTGGTCTCCTGGCCAGGCAGCTCAGCTCCCTGACTCCCACTATTCACACGGGGGGCTAGGGTACCCAAAAGGGTTTGCTGATGTTTTCTGAGCCCTTTCCTTTAACTCCACGGCTCAGTCATAAAGTTTCACTTAATGGTAACTGCTAGTCCATGAGGGGTTGCTCTGTGCCGCCCCCTCCTCGAGGGCTGCCAGGTGCCAACCTGGCCTCAGGTGTGCATTAGCCTGTCCCAAAACTGCCCGGGGGGTCATCTCCCTGTCAGTGCAAATGGGGGTTTGTGCTCCTCCACCTCGCAGAGCTGCCAGAAGCAGACATCCTGCAAAACGTGAATTGTGTCTTGGCCAAGTAGGTTTTACCACAGACATGCACTTAAAATAGTCTATAATGGGTCAACAAGTAATTTCATAAGTGTTGTTAATAAATGATTTATCCATTGCTAGGAAATAATGCCAATGTAATGAAATTACAGCACTGTCATTTCTTAACACTGAGCAGTTGGTTTAAAAATCATAGTAGATGCTTCTACAACGGTTTAGCTATTTGTGCTCATTTGGAGCACTTGTTTATCCTCTGTCAACTCAAGAGACTCCTCACCAGCCTCTGTAAAGCACACTGGGTGTGTTTGCAGTCTGCTTTTGGCAGCTGTAACTCCCCTGTTCATCCTTCATAACTTGTAGCAGGTATTTTTCCACAAAAAAGGCTACCCCATCCCTCAGAATACTTCTTTAAAGCATCTGTGGAATAAAAGCCAATGTTCCCCACTAAGATTTTGAAAATAAAGAGGGGAAATAAAATCAGACTCCTTCAGACAATTCCCTCAAACTCAAGCCCGCTTGCAAAATCTCCCCTTCAACAAAGTGAGCTTGCAGGCTGCATTTCAGGCAAAACCCTTTTTTTGTTTTCCTTTCTTAACTACATCACATTAAATTTAATTTTGTTCACTGTAGACAATGTCCTTATCTTCCAGCAAGATCCTTCTGTTCCTCAGCAAGGCACACACTTCTGCAACACTTGCACACTGTCGAGACTCAGCTCCTGTGGAAATAATGAGCTCAGGAAAAGGAGTCTTGACTTGACATAGCAATAAATGAGGTGAAACTTTCCTCTTTTTTTTTTTTTTTTTGGTGAGAAGCGAGAGTTGGCATGTAGGAAAAAAAAGAAGAAAAAAAGACGGTTCTATTTTAATATGAAATATAAAGCACCCATTGTACAAAAGTGGAATTTCTTTTTTTTTTTTCCAGAAGCAAAGAAAGAATAAAGATAAAGGCTGCAAGCAAATGAATGAGGAGAGAAAACTAAGATAATGCGGTCGATAATCAGTTCAAGGCAGAGCATTATCCATGGGGCCATCGGTCCGGCCCTAGGGGAGAGCTTTTTAAAATGTCTCTGTACGTAGCTTAGCTTTGCTCATTACCATAGCTTGTCTTTGAAACACCGGAGTGGCTTCCACCAGCAGCAGCCATACCTGTGCAAGGAGCTGCCAGCCCACTTTAATCAAGCGGACCCCCCA